CCGGATCTGTGCTCTATTTCGGGCCACCCTGTGGAGTTGCTTCTGTTCGTGCAAAAATACCAATCGCAGTTCTGTCGCCAGTAGTCCCTGGAAAGATAGATAGAGGATAATTATTAGATAAAGAATACAGACCGGTAAAGGGACAGGTACACAAACACAGAGAGATAGCGAAATAAAGGGCGGAAGAAAGAGAAAGACAGGGATAGAGGAAGGGAGGGAGAGAAAGAGAGAGAAAGAGAGAGAGAGAGAGAGACACAGAGAGAGACACAGAGAGAGAGAGAGAGAGAGAGACACAGAGAGAGACACAGAGAGAGAGAGAGAGAGAGAGACACAGAGAGAGAGAGAGAGAGGGCGCGAGAGAGAGAGAGAGAGAGAGAGAGAGGGCGCGAGAGAGAGAGAGAGAGGGAGAGGGAGAGGGAGAGGGAGAGGGAGAGGAGAGGGAGAGGGAGAGGGAGAGGGAGAGGGAGAGGGAGAGGGAGAGAGAGAGAGAGAGATAGAGAGGAGAGACGAGAGAGAGAGAGAGAGAGAGAGAGACAGAACAGACAGACAGACAGAGCAGACAGAGACAGACAGACAGACAGACAGACAGACAGACAGACAGACAGACAGACAGAGAGAGAGAGAGAGAGAGAAAGAGCGAGAGAGAGAGACATAGAGACCCAGACAGAGAAAGAGAGAGAAACAGATAACAGAGGAAGATCAAGAGAAGGTGGAAAAGAAAGAGAAAGAGAGAGAGAGAGAGAGAGAACGAGAAAAATAAAGAGAAAGAGCAAGAAAAACAGAAAAATAAAGATAAAGAAAGAGACAGAGAAAGAAACAAAGAGAACGAGAAAGAGAACGAGAAACAGAAAGAGGGGCCCGGACCCCCAGGAAACCAGAGAGCGAGGGATGGATGATGGATGGAGGAGGAAACGGGGGGGATGGTGGGTTGTATGGAGAGGCGGAGGGAGCATGGATGGAGGGAAGGTGGGTTCAGTTCGTTTTGCACACACACACACATACATACACAATCCCGGCCAGGTCATTCCAATCAAGTTTCAAAGATCCGGTCCTTTCCAGGACGTGCTTGTGGAAGCGATGAGGATGTTTTGTGCCACAGTGCACGAACTGATGCAGTTTACACTGTATCTGCGGCATTTGCCGAGCAAGGGAGCTGCACTCTTGGCTCCGGGTTTGCCCGAGCATGACAAGGCACGGCTGCTCGATGAAATCAAGGAGGAATGGCGCCTCATTCTGTCCATGGAATCCAACGAGGCCTCCAAGGCATGCCTTCACCAACATTGCTTTCACGTGACCTTCCAGCATGTCAGAGAAGTGGGTGCAATCTTCGAGAAGCACTCCTTCAAATTGCACGAGGAGTGTGTCAAGTGCTTGGAAGCCTGGTACCCAACTTTCAACCAGAGCGCCAATCTGGAGTCTATGTTTGGAGACCTCAGCAGCTCAGTGAAACGGGGTCAGAAGGCGGACACCGCCTCCCTGCCAGGGCTGATGGCTGTAGGCATTCGCAGCCTCGGCCGACGGGTTTGTACCGATGAAGAGCAATATCCCAGCACGCTGAAGCTGCAGAACGAGGACTTTCAAGGGTGCGAGACCACACATCTGAGGACCAAGATCTTCAGTCCTGCCAGTGCCCCGCCTTGTCTCTTGGATGCATGGCCGTGTGCATTCGTGTATGGGTAATCAGTCAGCCTCACGTTTGCAGATTTCGCAGCATTCTTTTGTCTCCCTATAGGCAAGAACGTTTCGCTGGAGCAGATCACGAAGCCATTTCAATCCACGTCTGCCTATCTGCACACCCAGCACTCCTTGAACATCATGGCGGGGTTTCTTGAAGCTGCAAGGCTCCTGAGCTGCCTCGTGTTCAAGTAAGCAGCAAAAGGATTCAGTACGCACCATCTCTGCCGAGGAAGGAAAGCTGCCCCTTCCAAGAAAGCCAACACTTTTGGGTTCCCAACTGTTTTGCGGCTGGTATGCTCTTCCGCTACAACAACAAGTTCTATCTTTCGACAGGCCGAACTCCTGGAGTGCTGTGGGTTGCTCGTCCTTGGTCAACTGATGAAAAGAGGGAATGATAATCAGGCTATCTGTCGGATAACAGGGTTCACATGTTTCGGGCTACTGGCAGCACTGAACCAGGCTATCGCTCTGCTGGAATTGCCGTGGCAGTTTCGTGGTGGGCTGCCGCCTGTTGTCGAAGATGAGATGAGGGTTCCTTGCAACGTGGAAGAGGAATCGCGACGGATCGATCCCCTCGCCGGGGATGAAGCTTCGCCGGCTTTGGCTGTTGATGTGGGCCCGATACTTGTGCTGCATTAGGCATGCATGAGCATTTGACCCTCTGAGGATGTATGACTCATTTGCGACCACAACTTAGGAACATGGTGAGGAGAATGATTGTGCGAATTTCTGAGGTCAGTTGTTGCTTGATCCCGTGACTCACACATTGCAGTAAGCCTCGAAACTTTGGCTGCATAGATACATGACAGGTGAAGCTCTTCCAGTACACAGTCCATATGGCTGATGGTGGCCTGGAAGCAAAGCTGAAGACAGCCTTGGTTTTCAGAAGGGGCTGCCGCGAATTCAGCTTGCCTGCTTATCTGATTCAGACCGGGGCCATCCTCGGTGTCACAAGCAGCACCCTTTCAGAGCTGCTCGATGATCACCATGTGCGGTTTCCCAAGAACACCACGAAGGCTGCGAAAATACGCAAGCTGGCTTCTTTGCCGGCCATACAGGACCAGTGCGATGCCAACAGGTTGGACCAGGTGCTGACGACGCTTGATGAGAATGACCGAAAAAAGGGCAAAGCTTCCGCTTCGGCTGAGGAACGGGTCGATGAGGAGGCCAGGTGTTCAAATTCTTTGACTAATGCTTTCGGAATAAGGAGTCGGGTCCCGTCACTATCGTTTCTGCCCGACAGCAGGCAGAGATCCAATGGCAGGAGCTCTGCGAAGATCCGGCCATGCAAGCTTGCCATGAGCTCTTGGAGAGATTGGATGAAGAAGAACAACAAGAAGCAGATAAACATCAGGATGAACAGGCCACTCGGTAACTAATGTCATGAGTTGCGGATCTTATCATTCCTGCATTTCGGAAATAGCTTCAACAGGAGCCTGCGACTGACGTGCCGGAGGGGTCTGGGCCATCGGTCGAGGAGCAGACTCGAACATCGCGAGCTTTGTTATCTGCATCCTCCACAACTATCCCCGATGAGTTGCTGAAGAAGTGGCCGCTTCCTGCCGGCTGCACCATGCACAAGACTGTTTTCTGCGACCGGGTTCTGCCGCACTATCAGGGAAAGCTGTGCGGGGGCAGGATGCATGATGGCAAGCTGCTAGCCTGCATTATTCATGAACTTTTCGTGCTCAACAGGGGGTACGAGCTCGTTTGGTGGAAGCTGTTCCGAGGAACTCTTGCAGTGCCAGCTTCAATCCATCTCTGAGCCGAGATAAGATTGATCAGAAGCTTCGGACCATTTCTTCTGTTCCAGCGAGGAACAGGTCCGAAGCACAAGCTTTCTTCATTGTGCATTGCTGGCTCGCAAAAGCTTGCGAGGGTCCCGCTTCGAAGAAGCGACGCACACGGGGCGAGTAGGATGCAATGTGGGCATCAACCGGGGCAAAAAGGAACAGGCGAGCGAGCACGATGATCCCGTTGCAGCACGATCTTTGAGCCAGCTGGGCTTCTGTAAGCTTTGACCAAAAGAAACCCTCCTAGCTGCCGTTTATGGAGCAATTCTGAACCCCATGCCGCAACCCCTGAACGGGAGTTGCCATGGAACCTTTGTGTTCGGATTTCTGCGCTTTGAAACTCAGGGGATCGGACCCATGAGCCGCTGATGAGAATGTGGCTGCCTTTCCCGGCCTCGGGCTCCAGGGTTTAGAGTTTCGGGCTTTAGGGGTTTAGGGCTTCGGGACTTCGGGGGTTTAGGGCTTCGGGGCTTAAGGGTCTTAAGGTTTTCAGACATATGTGGGGCTTCCTTAAAACTTGGGGGGGGGGTCCTCGAGCGGAAGGTGCTGAATTCAATACTCGACTCAAAACAGCTTATACAAAAAAACGCAACTGTAAAAAACTTTAAAAAAGCGAATGGCGATGATTAGGATCACGTCGAGCTTTGGTTCTAGATCAAAGGAAGAAACAGCACAACGCAAAGGAACAAAACACGGCTTCGGAATCAGACTCAGGGGTGTAGCAGTGTTTTGGAAGCTTCGACTATGAGGATTGCTGATGCAAGGGCCTAGAGGCCTAGACCAGGGTTGCCAGCGCAGTGCACAAGATCTGCCTGCAGCCACAAGAATCAGTCCTTGCGAATTTCAACCGGAACCACATAGCTACTGACGATAAGAGGCCAAAGATTCTTGGCTTAGAGCAGCGGCAAGGCTTGGAATCGCTCCTCTTGCTCAGCATGACACGATACGTATGGTTGACGAACCAATGATGGCTAGCAATGGTGATGATGATGGTGATGGTGGCCATGATGGTAATGATGGTAATGATGGTAATTATGGTAATGATGGTGATGATGACAATGATGATGCTGATGATGATGGTGAGGAGGAGGAGGAGGTGGAAGAGGAGGTGGAAGAGAAGGAGGAGGTTGAGGTTGAGAACGAGAACGAGCATTCAACATGAGGATAAAAATGAGGATGATCATCATTATGATGTTGATGGTGATTATAATCATAATGATGCTGACGGTGATGAAGATCATGGTGCTGATGATGATGATGATGATGATGATGACGATGATGACGGCATTGATGATGGCGGTGATAGTAAGGATACTGACGATAGTGAAGATGGTAGTGATGATGATGATGAGAAAAAGTTGAGGTTGAGGATGAGGATGAAGATGATGTTGCTGATGACGATGCTGATGATGATGATGATGATGATGATGATGATGTGGTTGGGTTACACGGCTCTTGACGGTTGTTGTTGTTGCCTGATCTCGTAAGAACTCCCGCGTGCTTCCTCTTTTTGACCCCTGCACATTCCCATCATCGGGCCATCGGGCTGCAGGGCATCTCCCCAGGCAAATATGTCTTGAACACTTCTGTGGCTTGGGAGGCACGGCGTCGATGGCCCAAGACATACGGCAATGATGGTGGCAGCGGCCCAGCAGGTAAAGGCGCCTCTTTTGTCGAAGAGTATGTCCGGGGCTGCGGCGCTGCATGCGTTTCAGTTGCACCAGCGAGATCTGTGCCAAGAAAGAAAGCAAATGCCTTCGTTGCCGAACGTTTTGCCCCGAGCATCCACAGCCTGCGCTCGACCATTGCCTTGTTTGCTTCCTCGTCTCCGCACGTGCAGCAAAAAGGCTGGCCGTTGAGATTCTCGATGCACTTCACACATAAAGCTTTGGAGCAGTTCCTTGGTCCATGTTAGGAGGGAAAAGGAAACGGGAACCTTCTGACGGGCTCCCGGTTAAACGATTCGGAGACCCGAACAAGAAGCTAACAGCATCCTTTAGAATTATAGCAGAATATACCCCCAAACCCTATTCTAATCATTATATAAGGCCCCTTTATGCGCATTGGCCAAGCTTCGGGCAGTGATGATCCAAGAACGATCCGAGTGCCTGCTGGCATCGGCTGCAGGACTCCTAGGTTTCGCAATATTTTAGGGGCCGCAATGATTAGAATAGGGTTGGGGGACATTCTACTATGGTTATCATAAGGGCCCCCCTATATTACTCGCTTGGGAACATGTACCCTGTTTCCTAGTAAAAGCGCAAGAGACCCCAGGATTAAAACGGGCAAAGTCGTACTACTGGAGTAGCTTCTGGCACTGAGTCGGGGCAACAGCTGCAAGCATTGAACAGCCCACACCATTGGGACGAGCATTCTTCACCGCAGTTTTTGCGGGTTCCACTTCGGCCACGGTCCTGGGAGAAGTGACGCCAAGTTGGATGAATCGGCATACAGCCACGACTGTCGTCAACTGCTATGCCCAAGGGGAAGTCGCAAGGCTCACGCGGCAAAACCTCAGGCGTGAGGGCGTTCAAGCTGGGAACTTCGGGCTGACAGACCCTAAGCCCTAAACCAAAATCTTCTGCCCAGGCCTTTCCGCCGTCGTACTCGGGCAGCGGAGCCTCGAAAGCCTGGAAATTACACACGGTGGAGGCAGGGGAGCTTGGTGCCTCCTGGCCGCTGTTGTGCGCAGGTGGCTCTTGGCCGTAGAGATAGGTAGTTGATGCTGGCGAAACAGGCGCCTGTCTACCATGGCAGTAGACTGTCGATGCGGGCGAGACAGGCGCCTGTCTCGCATAGCATACTGTGGAAGCGGGTGAAAACGGTGGCACTAGCTCGTTGTATTCGGAAATGGTAAATGATACTGGCATGCCAGGTATGGATCCATAGACGCGCAGGTTTGACAAATCGTAATGAGCAGGCTCTTCCGTTGGCTGTGGCTCGAACATCGCGCCGCATACTTCCGAAGAATCATCCCCCTCCAAGGTGGCATCAGGCTTCTTGCGGCTCAGGCTCGAATCTTTAGGCGTCGGGACCATGCCAGCCTTCGCGACGAGGCTGGCTGAGTTGGTCCAGTGCATAAGGGAGTTATGCTCGGCCCGCTCTTCCGGCACAGTGGCGGAAAGGTTCCAAAAGGGAGCGGAACGTGGGCGCGGAGGCGGCGGAGGCGCAGGGGGTGGTGCGTAAAAGAGGGATTCGAAAGCCGCAGAGCCAGCATCAAAGACCTCGCTGGTCTTTACGCTGAAAAGCTCGTTGACTTGAGACCAGGTTGTGTAGAACGAGGTCGCCCAGTCAAGATGTGAAGGGCCAGGGTCTCTGGCTTCCCGGTGCACAGCGGCCGGGTCCCAAGGACCGAGCGGAGTAGGCATCTGCTGAATATCAAGCAAAGAAGTGGCGTTGGGCTACCTGAGCTGCAGCTTGAGTTGCAGTCAGCTTCGGCGTTGCAGCTGGGAAAATAACTGAACTCTTTTTCCGTAAACCCACTAAGACGAGCATTGAACAGTATTAACTCATCCAGCGGCTTGGCGCCACATCTTCAGCATGCTGTGTACTGGGGCAATATCGGGGCATGAACGGCTCAAGACTGTTCTTACCGTCCCTAGTACCACTCTATTTTCTATACCTGGCATACTAACTTGTACTATAACGAACCCAGAAACCAGACCTGCTGGCACATTGGCAAGAGCATGTGTGCAGCACCTGATCTCTTTCAGGGCGAGGGAGACTCTTTAAGAAGACTCTTTAAGGGAGGGACTAGGTCCGGCTTGTGTGGGGCAGGATTGAGGGTTAGGGATAGTAATGGGTCAGTTTAGGGCAGGTCGGGTTGGGCTGGGCTGGGCTAGGCCAGGCAAGGCTACGTCAGGACCCAACAGCTGTTCTTGTTCTTCGACTTTCCACGGGATTTTTCGTGCTTCCCGACCCCCAGCTGCATGATTCCGTGTCATGTTTGCCCCCAGCTTCAGAGATTAGGGCTGAAGGCCTGGAGTGTGTGGTATCTCAGGTTCAGGTGTCTTCTCAGCTGGAGAACACCTCAATGCTAAGCTCTGCTCCTGTGGGCAGTTGCTGTAGTACCGCTTGCCCACCTGCCGTGGCCGCTGCGCAGACATGTCTTGGGCTGAAGTGCAACTCACCTAGTTTAGGGGCCTGAATAATCGAATCGGGTCTCGGGGTACAGTATTATTATAATCCGAAGAGGAACCGTAAAAGGAATTGTATTGGAACTCGTGCAGGCTTCTTTCATCGCCTGGGGTGTCCGACTCTGGGGTTAAGAGGCTTTCGTGCTGTAGGAGCCTTCGGGCTGTCCGGTCTTGAAGTCATGGGTTCAGTGAAGCTCAGATGCCTCAAACTCTTTCAACGCGCCAGGGGACGTAAGCAAGCCCTAAAGAAACTGAAGCAAGGATCACAATGAAAGGACTTGGAAGGGCCAAAACCATTCGACACCCCTTAACGTCCCTAACATTCTACAGAACAAGCTTTGAAAACTATTCCCAAAAGCCCTCCGCTGCAAAGTCCCAGATGCTTTCGCAAGGAAACTTCCATGACTCTGGCCAAGCCTTTGCTACATTTCGGGGTGTACTTGGAGGGTCGGGAGACTTAGTAACTGGTTATCTTAGGGACTTATAAGTACCATACCCCCAAATAGGGCCCCTTTTAGGGTACTTCTAAGTCTACTTACTACCTACTTACTAAGTCCCCCGACCCTCCAAGGAGGGTCTCAGGGTCGGAGTCCTTCCGAGCTTTCTGTGCTTGGGATTCGAACTGGATTTGGAGAGTGTAACAGCTTTACAGCTCTTTGGCCCCAGAAACCGAAGCCTCAAAATCCTGAAGACCTGAATCCCGGAAACCCCCCGGAACTGCTTTTGGGTCCCGGTTTTGGGGGGGCCTCTGGGTTCCGGGAGCTCAGGGTGTCGAGTTACTTTCGCCGGAGGGACCCTACTTGGAGGGTCGGTGGACTTAGTAACTGGCTATTTTAGGGACTTACAAGTACCATAACCCCAAATAGGGTCCCTTTTAGGGTACTTCTAAGTCTACTTACTTCCTACTTACTAAGTCGCCCGAGCCTCCAAGTACACTCCTAGAGCCGACTCACGGCCTTCTGGATGCGAAGTGGCTCGGCAAAGCGATCTACCTCAGGAGGCTTAAGGCTTCAGACCCGAGACCTAACCCGCGGGTGGCTAGAACTGAACCCCAGCCCCCAAAAACGGTAAACCGCCTAAACCCTGATCTCTAGACCCAGGAGGACGGGACAGAAATCCTCGAACCAAAAATCCCTCGAAGATCCGGAAATTTTATCGGAAAGCCCACAGAGCACCGCAGAGAACTCACAGCCTCTCTGCCTACTCCACCCTTAAACCACAAAACCCACAGCACTAAAAGCCTTCCCACAGAGCCCAATACCCCTTAATTAAGGAGTATAGCTTAAATCATCAGGGGCTTCATATTATGATTTAAGCTATATTCCTTAATTAAGGGGTATTGGGCTCTCTGGGTTCCTGAAACCTCTGCTTCGCCGGGCTGGCAGTGAAAAACCCAAGGCTTCGCGGAAGCCGGCCAAAGCTGTAAAGGAGAAACGATACGGGAGTTTCCGAAAATCAGGGGATACCTTATTTTGGAGTCCTTATAATAAGGATCCTACGATTTTATATTAGGGTCCCCTATTTTCGGAAACTCCCATATGGGCCTTTATAATCGGAATGAGTTTGTTGGATATAGTACATCTTAAAAACTATCATAACCTAACCTTCTTTTGATAGTTACTATTATACACCCCAATATGGAGATTTGTAGGGACCCTACAAAAAAGGCAGGCTTGGGAAGGCTAAGGTAATTGTACTGAGGATCAAGGCATCATACAGGCAATTATTGAGGCCTAAACCGTACGGGGGTTTCCGAAAATGGGGGGCCCTACTGTCGTTCCTTAAATAGTAGGATCCTTGTAAGAAGGACCCCCCAAAAAAAGGTACCTACCCCTAATACTCGGAAACTCCCATACAAGCTGAGGAATTCTTGACACCAAATTGACTCCGAAACCTCAAAAACCACCCAAATACGCCATATCCCAAATTGAAAGCAACGACACCCCAAAACCACGAACACTAAATCCTAAACTTGTAGTAGAGCTCTACACCCAAAGCCCCGGTACCAGGCGCGACTTAAACGCCAAACCTCTATGAAAGACCATCATATCGAGGATTTACAAGAAGGAGGTCAACCCTAAACCCTAAACCCGAAGTAAACCCTAAATCCTAAACCCTAAACCCACTCTTGCGCCCTTCAGGCAGCAGGCCATGTACTTGCTCACAACCGAGGCCGCACCCATCGCCCCAGAGTTGATCTGTTCTCAAGGCTCTCTAGGGCTAAGGTGTACGTTTAGGGTTTAAGGGTTTAGGGTTTAGGGGTTTAAGTTTTAGGGTTTAGGGTTATGGGCTACCTTTCAGAGGCTTTGTTAGGTTTGGTTTTGGGCTTTTTTTGCTGCTGGCCTTTTGGTGTCTGCATACAGGTTTGGGTTTGGGGTTCAGGCGTGTGGGGAATTTGTGTCTACGCTTCAGAAGCTGTGCGAAGGGTTCCTAAAGGGCCGAGGCCTTAAGCCCATGCACATTAAAGGACGCGTTGCTAGAATTGTCGTTATGACTCGTTTACACTAAAGTTTTGGGGCTCTGGGGCCATTGCGTTTAGAGCCTGAGATGCTAGAATAACATTCCTGCCCCGTCCCGATAGTGCGAGCCCCAAAACCCCCGTATGTCCTGTGTCGGACACCCACTTCTACCGAGACATTGATTCTTGACCTGATGAAATCCCACTTACAGATACTGCTTCTGCAATAGGACTGCGACGGCTACTGTTACAGCTACTACTACTACTACTACTACTACTACTACTACTACTGCTGCTGCTGCTGCTGCTGCTGCTGCTGCTGCTGCTGCTGCTGCTGCTGCTGCTGCTGCTGCTGCTGCTGCTGCTGCTGCTGCTGCTGCTGCTGCTGCTGCTGCTGCTGCTGCTGTGCTGCTGCTGCTACTACTACCACCACCACTACTACGACGACTACTACTACCACTGCTGCTACTACTACTACTACTACTACTACTACTACTACTACTACTACTACTACTACTGCTGCGACGACGACTACTACTATTTCTACTCCTTCTCCACTCGTACCCCTACTCGTTCTCCTGCTCCTACTCCTACTTCCACAGCTACTGTTGTAAGACTTCCGGGCCTCTAGACCTTGGGTTTCAGCAAACAATTACGTGCCATTTATTTGTCATTTGATAGTTTTACCGTTTGTAATATGCTAGGCGTCTCTGTCATTCGCCCTCCCTCCCTCCGCGTCCCAGCAAAATTGCAAAAAACGGCACCAATATGACAAAAACATGACAATGCCTCGGGAATGTGCAAATTTCGACTTGGTGCCCTGCCCCACCCTACGGGGTTTGTTTAGGGCCTTCTTAGGGTTCGGGAGTTGTTCTCCAGGGCGTGGGCCCAGGGGGATCGGATCAAAGAAAGGTTTTGGGACTCCCGCAGAAGTGGCTGTAGGTTTGAGGACTGCGCAGAAGAGTTCCAGGGCTGGCCATGCTATCTCCAGGGTGTGGGCATGTCACAACACCTTCCAGCAGTCTTCCAAGCAGGCTCATATCCTGTCATGGGGGGTGCAAGAAGAAGATTGCGCACCATGCCGACCCAGCCCCTCATTCCTCAAGGCAAGAGATGCCAACATCCCCCAGGGTCAAACCCTCAACCTGAGGAGGGCTTAGTCTTTCAGACTCACAGCTTCACGATTCCAACAGAGCTTTTGCCGCCTGGGTTGCTTCAGAGACTCATATCGTCACCTGTTCTGTTTCTTAGCTATGTAGCCTATAGTCTTATCCTACGTTCCCCAGCATCTACTTAACAATACAGTAGCGGTACCGTTTTCCTAGTAATCAAGTCCAAAAGGGGACCGTCAACCGAAAAGCACAAAAGGCGAATATTGGGGAACCAACCTGGTAGCGATTTTGATACTGTTGTTGCTCTACATATGATTTAGTGGGTAGCGCTGGCCTGATCGCCGCTGATTTTCGTCGAGTAGCACACCTTGAGCTCGACGCTCTCATTGGGGCCTGGCATCGAGGTGTCCAAGTGCAGGCAACGCTGGGTTTGGGGTTTAGGATGTGGACAACTGCACCAGACAGATGACATCCTAAAGTAGCCAGCCACTGCTGCTGGTACTGCGACGACGACTATCACTAGATTCCTCCTAACACAGACCACCAATACCACACCCAAAAATGCACCGTTCCCTCGCAATACTTTTACCGCACGGGACTCATGGGCCGAGTTAATGGAGGCATGGTGGCTCGGGGTGCTTCGAGCGCTAGGTTGAGCGAGA